TGCTGCTGCACTTGAGTGCCCATACTCACACATGGTGCACACACACATACGATATGCATACACACACACGCACACACGTGCCCACATATGCACATACACATACACACAATACTAACAATAAATAAATTGTAAAAGGAACATAACTGTGACTTAGAAATTATTTTCTAATTTAAATACAGTATAGGCTAGGTTCATTCTCCTTTTCCTGGGCCTTAAGCAAAAACACTAAAATGCTAAACTAAACTTCTGAAAGCAGAAAGTAACCTGTAACCCATTTACTCTCTGATATCAATGGCTAGCATTGATGAGGGATCAGAAGAGCAACCAGGAGACTTATAGAAAGCCCAGGAACATGGGCAAACTGGGCATCCTTGCTAACCTGGGAACCAAAGGAAACAGGGCAGTGACGCACCCTTCTCGCGGCCTAAGACCCAGTCATAAAAACCAAGCAGTACATAGAACAGAGAACACCCCCCCTTGACTGACACTGGAAACATTTGTTCAGCAGGCATGTGGTGCTGATGGGCCATCACACTGGCACCATAGAAAGCAAAGAGGACACTCATCTTGACTCTTGTGTAAAAGCATGAGACAGGAAATAATCCATTCGTTTTAGCAATTAATGTGAAGTTTCTCCTGTCACACAGCAGAGCAGGTGTGCAGAAAGCAAACATGTAGTGGCCTGCACTAGGGTATGAATGGTGACAGGGGGTGTGGGTTGTAGGGTGGGTTATTTCTCTGGGAAACTGATGGAAAGGAAAGGGGTTTTATACAAACTATTTCCCCTGTTTTGGTTTTTAATTTCAGTTCTATCATGCTGACTTCAACCCCCTATTTTTTTTTTTTTTTACTTCAGGAAATTCTCCTTCGGGACTTTCTTTTCTCCACCCATGTTGCAGAATATCTTTCTGCTTTCTCCGCTGTGGTGCGGAATTGACAGATGGCTATAAGAATCACAAGTTTTTTTTTATAAAAACAGGAAAACTGTGATGTTTAAAATTACTTTATTTTCAACACCATTAAAATCCTGGAAACATCATCTGGGGAGATGGCCAGGCTCCTTACAGCCTTCCCCATGTACTCTCACAGGCATCATGAGCCCTGACAATCAAGGCTCAAACACACAGATCTCATATACTCTGATCTGACTAAGAGAAAACCCTCCTTGCATTCAGTGTCAAATTTTGCTCTCTGCAAACCACATCACCAGAGTAACAACAAGGTAGCTGCAAGGGATTCCATAAAAGCCTCCTCCATTGTACCCTGAAAGGGACCACCAAGCAGCATGGTGGCCATGCTCTGAGAGGTATGAGGCTTCTCTGAGTTCCTCATCTTCTTGAGTTCCTTGTTCTTCTGCAGGCTTTCAGAACTCTAAACTCAAAAGGTTAAAGTCTATCCCCACAGCACACCATTAGGCTGGAGCAACAGGGTACCTACCACAGGTTGCACCTTAGAAGAAGCTTCTCCTAGTCCCCAGAGCTGGAGCCTGACCACTCCCTTCATGGTACGTGGGGCAGACCAGTACCTTTTTTTTTAATTAATTAATTTATTTATTTATTAAAGATTTCTGCCTCCTCCCCGCCCCCACCTCCCATTTCCCTCCTCCTCCCCCAATCAACTCCCCCTCCCTCCTCAGCCTGAAGAGCAGTCAGGGTTCCCTGCCCTGTGGGAAGTCCAAGGACCTCCCACCTCTTTCCAGGTCTAGTAAGGTGAGCATCCAAACAGCCTAGGCTCCCACAAAGCCAGTACATGCAGTAGGATCAAAACCCAGTGCCATTGTTCTTGACTTCTCAGTAGTCCTCATTGTCCGCTATGTTCAGTGAGTCTGGTTTTGTCCCATGTTTTTTCAGACCCAGTCCAGCTGGCCTTGGGGAGTTTCCCATAGAACATCCCCATTGTCTCAGTGTGTGGGTGTACCCCTCGCGTTCCTGAGTTCCTTGCTCGTGCTCTCTCTCCTTCTGCTCCTGATTTGGACCTTGGGATTTCAGTCCGGTGCTCCAATGTGGGACTCTGTCTCTGTCTCCTTTCATCGCCTGATGAAGGTTAATATCCAGGAGGATGACTATATGTTTTTCTTTGGGTACACCTTCTTATTTAGCTTCTCTAGGATCACGAATTATAGGCTCAATGTCCTTTTTTTATGGCTAGAAACCAATTATGAGTGAGTACATCCCATGTTCCTCTTTTTGGGTCTGGCTTACCTCACTCAGGATAGTGTTTTCTATTTTCGTCCATTTGCATGCAAAATTCAAGAAGTCATTGCAGACCAGTACCTTGATGAGCATAACCATTCTACACTTGCTCCATGAATAGAATCCCTCCAAAGTATATGCATATTCTACTCCTAGAGCACACACACATACACACTCCAGTGCACACAAATATACCCTACAGGGAGCCCTTGTTCACCAATGCATACACCCTGTAGGTAACTTCATTCTCTCTCTTACTCTGGTTCCAAATTCAAGGGACTCAGAACTTGTTGCTCTAAGATCCAAACTTGCTGTGTGCCTAAGTTCAATATGAAGGGCTGGAAACCCAAGGAGTATCTTCACAGGTTAGTACTGTGCCTATACTCAGAATCACATAAGAAATAGAGTTCAGAGCTCACAGAAGGCATTGCTAGTCCACAGACAAGTGACCAGTTCTTAGGCCCACGACAGACTCCCATTCACTGAGCCCTTGGGGACAAGAAGAGATGACAGACCATAAGGTGAGCCATAGTGCCTAATGACTTTTCTCTTTGTACCTCTTGACAGACCCTCCCCACTCTCCCCACAGGAGTAATCATCCTATTTTCTCTCCACAGAGGAGTTCATTTTTCTTTGTGATGAAATCTGGACAGTGTGTGAGGTAGCCAATGCTCTGAGGTAGCCAATCACTTTAGCTCAGTCTCGCTTACTATCTTTTGACTCTACAGTCTTTCACCACATGAACAGGTATTTCCTGTGTAGCTGGGGCATCAGCAACAGAAAGAAAACCAACATAAAATCTACTAGTATCTTGCACATATTGCTCTGGAGTTGGAACCAAAATTCCTCCTTTGTCTGGCTCTTTTCTTACCTTAATGAGCTCTGTGGATTTGCAAAGCCAGCGCCCAAGGCCTGTTAGTGGGAAAGGAAGAGCCCATGAAGAGCAACGCCTGTGCACACTCAGAGAAACAGCTGCCTTTGCCAAGAATGGGGCCATTTGTCTGGGAGGTCCTTAGGATGGCAGACAACCATGCTCTCACAGTCTTTGCCCAGAGTTCACAGCAAGTCTGTATAGTGTTATTCCCTATGCTGTGGAAGTGAGGACATGGTACACTAACCAGTTCTCAGAGTTAACAGGTTAGAAAGCCAGAATTCACACTCTGGTCTCCCGACTCCAGCCCAGAGCCCATCAGTTGTCAGCTGTGATGCCTCTGCTCTTTCTCCTTTACAGTTCGCTTGAGTTCTCTGAGAACAGTAAATCTTAGACTCTTCAAGACAGGCGACTTCACCACGGGGCCAGCCCAGACACAGCAGGAGGAGAATAAATATGTGTTCATTTACATAGGCCTTACCTCAGATTTGGAATATGTAAAAGCAGACAGGATTAGGTGCCCAACATGACCCACAGTTATCATGTAGACATCCAGAGGGCTATAAGTGGGATCACAGGGTACAATAGGGGATTTGGTCAAGAGAACATGGATTATTCTGATATCACATATCCTTTCAGGGGCTTCATTTAAGAGCAGTGGACCTTAAGTCCTAGCTGAATTCCTAAGCTGGGTTACAAAGTCTAATGTTTCCCTTCCCCTACTCTGTCGCCATCACGAGTGCAGGGACCTGACTTTTGTATTTGCTGTCAAGTGTGTGCTAGTGCTTCCTACGTGCTAAAATACGAGTTTAGAGACCATTTTTGTTCTTCCAGATGAACTAGTCCAATAAACTAAAGACATTCTTCACATAATTCAAAATTCGTACTTAAAAAACTACAGTGCACATAAGCTAAGCCTTCAGGAACAGCTCTCTCTCTGCAGTCGTGTGGTGTATGAAAAGAGACACCTAGTGGAAACACTCGTAAGTACTAAATTTATTACTGAACTAAGAGAAGTTCCCCGTGAGTTTTGTGAGTCCACATGCGTTTGGGTTCAGCACCTTCCAAACTACTAGAACCATAGACCCAAAAAATATGTCTTTCAAAAGTGCATTCTGTGTCTATTTCTGAAGAAAGTGTGTGTTCCTTTACCTTCTGAGTTTGACTACCTTATTGAGTCTCAGAGTCATGGAGACATTGCAAAGCCAACAGTACAGAGCAGGTAATAACTGGACACCTGCCTTCCCCTCCCTTTCCTGTATGCGTGCGTGCTGATTTTTGTTTTTACCTCTTCACAGACTTGGTGTGTGAGATTTTCCATTTGTCTATGGGTTGTTGTATTCTGGTTTAAAATTAGATAAAGCCAAGCCTGGTCTTATTTTCCACCTGGCTTCCTGTGGTCCCTGCAGCTTCCTGTGGTCCACCCACTGGCTCTGCTCTATCACTCACTGGCCCCCACCCTCACTTTCTCGCTGTGCCCACCCCCACCCTTTAACATAACAGCTCGCTCTTTTTCCATGCCCTCCTTAATTTCATTTAGTCTCAAAATTAAAAGTCTATCATCATAAAGTATTTTTTAAAAAGTCTATTTTTTCCTCTATGACCATAGCGTTAAAGTATGATTTTGTCGAAAGTTTACATTACTAATTGATTAAAATGAAATAGCTGTTTAATTGCAATTTGTGTGATCTTATAGGCTCAAACTAGTGGGATTTTTATTTTACTGACTTTATGTATTTGAGAGTCTCTGTATGTTGTTTAGACTGGTTTTGAACTCAAAGCCTCAAGGAATTCTCCTAAGTCAGCTATAGGTAAAGGCCACTGCTAAGCTCCTTTAGGCTCAAAAGACTTAATTTCTTGCTCTTGTTTTTTTTTTCTTTCTTTCCTTCTCCCTTTCTTGTTTCCTTCCTCCCTTTGCTTGTGTGTATGAATCTCAGGTTCAAGCCTACCACTAAGCTCCCTTCCACGTGACGCTCATCAGATTTCACATCTGAAAGAGACCGTGTCCTTTAATGAAAGCTGAGCTTCACTTCAAAGTCCACATATTCTAGGAGTGCTCTGCAAACAGACCCAAGCTTCGGTATGGATCTGGGAAGTGGACACACCCTGCAGGGAAGAAGCCCAGGGACCTCCGGCTTCAGGCACACAACTGCAAACGTGATCTCACGTCATGATCTCTGGTCAACCTCCCAGATCCAGTCGCCCAGCCAAACTCAACCACAGAGAGAGATCGGAAGTTAACTGTCAAGCAGGCCTTCCCAGGATTCTTAACACGGGCCATTTTCAGGAAGGGGATTGCTATTTCCCCTTTGTCACAGATGATGGAGCCACATCAGGCCCTTTTCCTTTGATATTAGGAATAAGCCAAAGGTGTTTATTACTACCATCCAATGGCATAGTTTCAGAGACACTGGTAAAAGAGTTAGTAAAGATATGGTGGTTAAAAAAGAAATTAAGACTTCAAATATTTTCAGAGTATAGAATTTAACATGTAGAATCTATACATGAAGTATTAAAATTAACATGCAAACATAGAAAGTTACCAAATACATGGCCATTATATTAAATTGAATAACAGTTCCTCATGTAAGGAATATTAAAATAAAATACCTAAGAAAACACATATCTGAGAAAATATATTAGATTTCTATAACGAAATCTATTGTTCTATCTACCATCATTGGGAACAACTAAAGAATACATAACTAAATGAAAGGACCACCTATTAACTGAGACTATTAATAATAACTACTGCAAACATCCTATTACCCTGATGTCAACAGGATGTCTATCTTGTCTTCTAGAACCCTTTTTGTTTACCCTTCCATATTATATCTATGATCAAAAAGCACTTGATTTATAAACTTAGTTTCAAATAAGAGTCAAACTTCATGTTTGAAGTTAGTAATAATTATCCCAATATCATTTATAGATTGATATGTTGCAACCTACCCAACTTAAGCCAGGGCTACACAGTGAGATCCCGCCCTCCACCTCCCGTACTCATGCACACACACACAAATAAAGTCTGTTAAGCAGTCATGACTCAGAACTGGAGACAGATATAAAGAACTGTAGTGGCATTTCATTTGTATTTTAATAAATAAAGCTTTTCTGAAGATCAGAGATTAAAACAGCCCCATTGGTCAGCCTTATAGACCAAACAGTGGTAACACACACCTTTAATCCAGTAGCCAGACTAGTTGCCATAGAAAGTGGATGGTGCATGCCTTTATTCCCAGGCCGAGAGAAGATTATAAAATGGGAGGAGACATCTCTTAGACTCAGTCTCATTCTGAGATTCATGGAGGCAGGATCGCCATTTCAGAGTGAGGCCAAGGTAAGAGCTGGCTACTTTGCTTTTTGGATCTTCAGGTTGAAGCCAAATTTCTTTAAGTTTTTATTGATTGTGCTTCAAGGAACTCAATACTGACAGCATAACTACTGTTCAAATGAATAGCTTAAGAGGACAACAGGGACCAGTGATGTGTATGGCAGTTAGTGAATCCAGACCCTTAAGATAGAATTTCACAGTTATAAAGCAGAATACATACTCCTGTCCAGCATAGATGTAAGTTTTTAAACACGTTCCTCAGAATATTTTCTCTGACTAAAATCCATTAATTATATAAAATAACAATGAAAGCTTAGTTTTATACATCTTAATTTGTATGGTATATGGAGTATATGCATGTGTGTACATATATGTATGCCAGGACATATACCTGTGCATGTGTTTGTCCTCGCCTCCTTTTCTGAGATAGGATGTCTCATTGGACCTGGAGCTCTGCTTCTGGCTACATTGGCTGAAGAGCCCCATGGCTGTCCTGTCTCGGCATCATCTCCATCCCTAGGGCTGGGTTTACAGGATGTCACCATGTCTGACTTGTACATGAGATATGGGGAGAGAACTTGGGTCCTCATGTTTGCATGGCAGGCACCTCCCAAACTGAACCATCTCCTTGGGCCCGACAGTATGAGTGCCTGTGTCCCTGGAAACAGTCTCACTGATCTTTAGTCATTTGGACTGAAAAGTAACTGAAATGGGAAATATTTAGAACTTATCTTCACTGAAATAAATGTAAAAATTTGAGACATGATTAATATATTTTAGTAGACAATTTATGCTTCATAAGTATCTAATGAAAACTCTAGAAAGAATAAGGCAAATACGATTCAGTATATTAGATTAAAATAATAGCAAAACATCAAACCCAAGTCAAAAAAATGTCTATAATAAAGGCAGAAAACAATAAAGAAAGCTATGGAGAAAAATTAATGACAACAAAAGCTGTTGTTCTGAGGAAAGGTAATGAACTAAAACTCAAGCAAAACAAAAAGGGAAAAATCAAATATAAACAAAAACTTTCCAGTTACAACTCATACAATTAGCCAACCTAGAATCATAACTGCAAAAAGTGTATTCGGATGTGGGTCAGATGTAAAGATAAACCACCAGGTGGTAGTGGTGCATTCCTTTAATCCCAGCACTCGGGAGGCAGAGGCAAGTGGATCTCTGTGAGTTCGAGGCCAGCCTGGTCTACAAGAGCTAGTTCCAGGACAGGAACCAAAGCCATCGAGAAACCTTGTCTTGAAAAAAACAACAAAGATAAACCAAATAATATATGTACTGTTTAACCTACTATAGACACACTGACAAATTTACCATCTGAGAATCTATTCTGAAACGTGTGTGTGTGTGTGTGTGTGTGTATTTCAAATCTTATTTTTCTATCTATTGGTCAGTAAAAGACAAACTTCTGATTGAAATTAAAAAAAAATATTCAAAAATCAGGAGAAATGTTTGACCCTGTAACCTTCCCAGGGATAATTGTGCAGCACTTAAAAGTATGATAAGTACATAAATTGTATGTTTAAAACTCAGCATCAAGCAAATAGGAAAATCAATCAGGTTTCAGAGCCTGAAGCCTTTCTCCACTTCCAACCCCAAACCTATCTCTCTTAATGCTCATTAGAAGTACCTTGGTTTTGGACACCCAGTTTCCTTTCAGACCGGCTCCATTTACTTCAAGAAGTGTCTCTTTCCATCTCCATGACGCTGTCAATCCTATGTCAATCTGACACAAGAGTGAGCTTAAGTTGGAACTCATCCCTCATTCGTTCATTCGTCATCATACGATGAACCATGTGCCAAGCACAATGTTTGGGGCTTAAGGATGCCTCGCACAACAGGCAAAGCCTCTTACTTTTACATTTTGTGGAAGTAAACAAAATATTTCCTTCTCCATAATCTTTATTTTCAATCTGTTCCTATTAAATCTGGTAAGTTTAAAATGCGAAAAGGGGCTGGAACTAGTTGCTCTTGCAGAGAGCATGGGTTCACAACTGCTTGCAACTCGACATGCAAATGATCTGCTGCCCTCTTCCACCCTCCCCAGGCTCCCACACATGTGTGGTGCACAGAGACTCATGTGTGCTCACATCCGTAGGCATAAGTAATAAAAGTAAATATCCATTTAATATGAAATTATTATTAAAATATTCAGATAGCTCAACTACCTAGTAAAGCATGAGAACTGATATTGTGAAGGATTTGGGAAAGAAAGATACTGCATATAGATGCAAAAATTTCATAGTAAATGTCGCCAAAGAATAGGTGACTCCTGAAGCCTCTACCTCCCTGAATGCACTGTGTGATGGGAGAGACAGGGTGAGTAACTACAGCCAACAGTCTGGGCAGAGGTGATGGGTGTCACTTACAGTTTAAAGACAGTTAGCATACTCCATACTGTCTTCCTCCCTGGTGGCAACCCATGGAGGTCACTTACTAACAAGATGGTGCCACAAGATGGCAGAGTTTGCATTAGCCCGCATCTCTAATGGACTCCATAGATGGGATCCCTCGCCTCCTCAGCAACTGGCACACTGCACGGACTTCTTATTCATTCAGTGTGGATACGAAATAAAGGTCTGCTGTGTTGAGCTTCTGCGATCTAGGGGTTAATTTCGATAGCACCTCAAGAGCTCCTTGTGGCTTATCAATTATTAACAAAGGCACTGAGATTTCTTTGAGATCTGTTTGCTGTTTCCTGTGTAAGCTGACACCCAGGAGAGAGCGATTTTATCAGGAATGGTTATGTCTCCACAGAGGGCGACAGGCTTAACAACAATGGAAATGTTAGAGAAGAAGAAACCTTTGGGCTTGCAGACCTTTACCTCCTTCACTGATTTCTCTCTGGCTACAAAGTAGCGCAGAATTTTTTCACATTAAAAAAATTAAAAATGTTCTATTCATTTGCAGAACTAACTTCAAAAGATCTGAGATTTCAAACTAACACACCTCATCATTCTTGGAACTGGATCCCGCCCCTTACAAAGCTATTTACATATTTTTGAACTGAAATATAGGAAAGAAGGAAAAAAATTGTTTACTATAAAAAAAAACTTCTCAAATGTTAATCTGCCCTCTAGATAACCAAAACAGCTTGCAGATTCTGTTTTTTTAGTGATAGTCTATGTCTTCGGCTTGCCAAGTCTTGCCTTATAACCCAGGTGTCCTCATTCTTGTTCATAATGACATATTTTGTGCAAAAAAAATAGGCATCTTCAAGAAAAACAAACATATGTGGTCATCTATTCTTTTACCACCAGCACATAAGATTTTTACCAAAAAAAAAAATATTTAAAAGTAGATCAGAAACTTTGAATGAGACTTGGCCCCACACATTCTGTGCTGGAAAAAAATCTACTGGTGCCCTGAATCACTTGATAACATAAATCAAATTAAGTAGGTCTTAGAACATAGCACTGATAGACACAACAAGAAAGACAGAGTAAGAAAAACATAACCCTGTGTTCATAATTGCATTCTCACAAAACTCACAATATTCACTGCCCAGCAGGAATATGTCAAAAATAATTAGACAGGCATTTTATGCTTAAGAAGCCTGGGAAGGGCTGAAAATGTCCATGTGCTGAGAAACTTAGACGCTTGGGAGTGAGAACTGAGTATGATTTGCTGGTTCATACTGCACAAGCATAGACTAGGAACCAAGCTGTGTCAGAAAGTTTCCTTCACCACTGCCCAATGAACACCCGAAGGATGAAAATTGCTAAAATACTTTTTGCAATGGCTGAAGGACATTTCATAAGCTTACTGGCTGCCTCAAGTCCT